TTTTCTCTCAATTTCGCACATGATTTGCATTAAAAAAACATCATGAAAACCGAATAAAATTTCAGAGTACTGAATATTAAATTAATGCAATAACAGGTTTGTTATTATGCGAACACTTTAAACATTGTATTCAGAGCAAAGAAAGACTGTCTCGATCAATCATAATTAAAATAATATTTAAATTCAATAAAAAAGGATTTTAAACAAGTTAATCCTTTTCTTCGATTAAAATAGATCGTTTTAATTGTGTCTTTGACAGAAAAAGCAAGATTAAAGAATAACATATATTTTGATTGAAGGAGAAAATATTACTGGATTATTTAAATTTCCATTTATTTATTCTAATAATGTTTGTCGATTTAATTTGTTTGTTAATTATTCGATTTTTTTTTAGATCATTCAAGAATTGAAGAAAGCTCGATCTTGCTCAAAATTTTTAGAAATAAATGTATAAATAGTGCTCCAATACAACATGCAAATAATTGGTTTCTATTGACTAGTAAGTTACTATCGTATTTCATAGTGTTTATTCTATACATTTGAAGGTTTTTTTTGTCCTATTGTATTGTATTACTTATTGTGAAAATATGATGTTCATTGAAATGTTGCATACTACTCGCAATATGGCTTCTAAGTAGTATGCAACGGAGTGTAGACCAGAAGTTTCTAACTGATTAGAAGAGTGAAATGCATGCAATGATCATAGTGTTTTGAAGATCAGAAAACATATGAGAGAAAAAAAATCAAAACCCTGGTTGTTTTGCTGATGGTATTCTGAAAATCAGCTGTAAATATCTTGTTAGTGAAATTGTCTTCTATTGCATCTGGTCTTGGTGTCTTACTTAGTTCATTGCATTCGTAATGACTTGACAAAATAGCAGTACTCTGACTGGTGTGATTATTGTTTATAACTGAGAAAAAATCTACTGCTTACTTCTCATTAGAACGCAATAAGACTGATAAGACTCGACGTAAGGATGATGACAGTACTATAAAAATAATTATTTCATTCAAACACCTGTCAGTAACTGATGATTGAATGAAAAACTATTTGAAAAGTAAGCGAAATTGTAAATAATTTACTGAACCGATCAATAACCAATTTACGATGGATTGGACTAACAGTAATCGATGTTAATTATTTAATTCATTAATTGATCATTTAGTGTATTCATTCAATTTACAATTTCAATAGATTAACTGTTTTAACTAACAAATGTGCACTACTGCTAGAAGGAAACTATTGTCCAATGCTTTCAGGTTTCTAATTGCAGTCTAGCTAAGACCTGTTCGTGATTTCAACTGTAAATTACAATACAATCTCCACAAATTCCCTTCAATTATTAATAAATATAACTAAATTACTAATTTATACTTTTGTATGCACGTAACACTTAGCTTTTTTAAAATTTTAACAAATCAGAAAAGCATTGTATTGCTATTCTCTGAAAACATTATAACAAGTAGTTGATTAGTTTTAGAAAAAAAAATTACTCAATGAAAAATTTTTACATAGATAATTCTGGTTAATAATCTTAATTGATTTGGCATTGAACTTTATAACTTCACGAATTATGAACGTTTCCAAATGTATATAATGACAGAATCTATTTAATTTTCCTTTTCGTTTACTTTTCAATTTTTCACATTTTTAGGAACAAACAGAAATGACACACTTTATGATTTTAATTTGTATTATATCATGCGTAGTTCCACAATATTTTACAGCAAACAATGATACCATTGAAGAAATACCATTTATCATCAACAAAGAAGGTAAATTAATACACTGTATTATCACACTGAACATAGGATAATAAATCAATGATTTTATTTATAAAACAATTTAATTTTTGTTTTCATCAGTTACATTGAAATTGATCATTATTAAGTGCAACAAAACTGAATTAATTTAAGTCATATGCCACCAAGTGTTGTTAAACGGTTAAACAATAAAACATATCAAACAGTATTTCAATGTGAAGCTAAAGAAAGAATACATTGGACACCTGATAAATACTTCCAGACATTTTTAATGTATTTTGGAAACCCAAAAACCATATCAATGTCTATATTCTCTCCTATGAATCATATTTTCCGGGTGTTTTAGCTGATATTTATTTTATTTCAATATAAAACATTGGTACAAAGCGCCACCTAAATATTTAAGCAACTCAAATCATTGGTGGGCAAACCAGGATACTGCCTGGACGCCTAAAACAAACCGGTTGATATTCTTAAGAGGTCAGTTCCCAAGATTTTGACCTAAAGATCTAATCCAGAACGCAGTGGACTAACGTCACGAGACGCAATCTCATGGTAGCGGATGATCAAAAATAGATTCATACTGCTGAAGATTTCGGAGGCCATAGGCACTTTTCGTTTGGAATCAGGGCTTTGGAACTCCTCTAGGTAGTCCTCTAAGCCCACAGACTCGGTTAGAGCACCAGACATCCGCTTTTCGTCCTCTTAGATACATAAACAACACGAGAAGATAGTAAGTAGGGTTTTTATAGCAGTGGCCACTGGAGAGCATTTAGAGAGGGAGAGCGGATTCTCCCCCCTCTTGGTCTTATCGGGGGCTATTAGGAGATTATACTATTGAATTGCCTAAATTATCTAAGGTTCAAAGAGATTGGGACCTGAGATCAACTGATTAAAAGTCTATTCATTCAACTACTACACATGATTCACGATTTGTAAAACAGAAATAATATATATATATATATATATATATATATATATATATATATATATATATATATATATATATATATATATATATATATATATATATATATAAGTATATATATATACTATTTACTCATGTTTTTATAATTGTTTAATAAGATTTATTTTGATTGATTGTTAGGGGATGTAGTCTTTATATATGATGGAATGAATTATTCTTTAAATTCGAAATTGATCTTGAAAATTGAAGATAAAGACTGTTGGATAGGAATGAATTTTACACGACCGGATAAAAATGAACTAGAAGCAAAAGCTGGTACTAGACTACTGCTTGAGTAAGTTCAGTGCGCTTTTAGTTCTCATTTCTATCTTTACGATATACATAGTAAACTAATTACCAATCATTAATATTATGTTTACACTAGTCAGTTAGCTAATATCGAAGTTATCCATCGATCAATGTTAGACAACTCCATCTTGACAATTATCAAGTGCTCACTAGTGACTAGCTTCGATTGAAAATATCCGAAGGTCTAGGGGGAAACCGTGACCATTGTAGTTCAGCCATGTCGGGCATGAGTCAACTACCCACCGAAGACAGTAGATGGCCGTGTAATATCTTGGATTGAATGAAATTAGGCAGTAACACTGTTGAATGCCGACGCAGTGGTCTAAAAGTTATGCGTTCACATGCGAGACCGAATGCCCTGAGATCGACTCCTGCGTGCAGTCTCATAGACAAGAACTCCCAAGTCCCATAATAGGGAAGAACGGTTGCCCAGTGATTCCAGTGGCAGTCTATATTGATTGATTCATGATTTCAATGAAACTCAACAATCTGCACAACCCTATACTGACCATCTATATATACTGCCGATCATCAATGAAAACTGATATGATAACCCGACCCCTTGAAATAATAACCGGTGGAATGGTCAATTACCTAGCTACTTATTACATTACTTATTATTACTTATCAGTCGGGTTATCATGAATTATGATTTTGAACAAATACAGCAGACAAGTTCAGTTAATTAGTACCTTTATAAACTTGTCAATTCATTAATATTATTCACTAACACATTCAAAAAGAGTATTTAATCAAGTATATTAATTTGAAATAAACCTTCTATTTGCTTCTATTTCACTTAATATTCGAATATCACAACATAAAATTTAATATGAAATTATTTTTCTTTCAGAGGTTGTAAAAATGAAAGAAAGAAATAGGATAAAATGCCAAAATATATTCATGAAAATGAAAACAGAAGGATTTTAATCTAGGAAACAAACGTTTTAAATTTACAAATTTTTAAATACTGTTTTTATTGTTGATTCTTTTTTTACGTAAAATATATTTTATATGGTAATTTTTATTTTTAAACAGTTAAGCAACTACAACCGGTGTGATGAAATAGTTACTCATTACTAACAATGAAAGATCATTGTGAGATGTTGTGTATTAATTGAAGCGAAGTTAGTTCTCCTAGATTCTTGATTGATTTTTCCGGAAGTATTCAGAAGTATGAACCAATTTAAACAAGACAGCATACCTTTTATCATCACAATTGAATTAAAATTTATTATACCTGAATTATTCAACAATAATTTTCATTATAGTGGTGAAGATGGTTGAATTTCAATGAACTAATGAATTAATTATTGTTAAACCGCCGTTAGAAAACTCGAAGCACTGAACAGCCATTTCATCCTAGTATGGGACTCGTCAGTAGTGCGCATCTACTAGTGACTAGCATCAAGAGGAAATTCTCGGAGTTTTAGTGAGAAACTGCGACCAACGGAGTTCAGTCCTTTCGAATGTAAGTGGTTACCTAAGGAAAACAATAGGTGAAGTTACGCAATACCTTAGACTGATTAAAGTTACACATCAACACCGTTGGAAGCTATCTCAGTGATCTAGAGGCTGAACACTCGTGCGTCAGACCAAAGGTCCTGGGTTCGATTCCCTCAAGCGAAGATCGTCAGTGCATACAGTTGATGAGTCCTCTACTAGGACTGAACACCCACCCAATGCTGAGGAGTTTCTAACGTTGGCCTAAACATTGACTAATTCATTATTTGATTGAATATGCTATTATTTATTGTAGAATAAGAATAACATAATACTGGTCTAAATAGGCTAGTATAGTTATATAGCAATGGAAGTTGAATTGACAGTGTATGCACAAGATCCTAAATGGTATAAACAGTTTACTTCAAATCTTCTAACTTATTCGTCTCATTCAAATAAATATATGATCATAAATCAAAAAAAAAACCATTATGTAATTTTGGGGGAATATATATATATATATATATATTTATTTGTCACGAAACTAGTAATTTTTTTCTATCGACCAAAAAATAAAAAGAGGACAAATAAACAAAACAATGTTAAATAATCAATCACAAAACACAGAGAGGAGCGAAACAAAACAAAACAAAACCAAACAAAATAATAATCACATAAACCTGATTATGCAAAATCAATATCCCTTGGTCATTTGTTTCATTTTTATTATTATTATTATTATTATTCTATTCTGCTTGAAAAAATAAATTCTTGTCATAGAAAAAGATGTTTGTTCTTCGTTTTTTTCTCATGTTTGAAAAAGAGATTCAATGAATGCAATAATGGAGAAATGCACAAAACATATAATCACATTCATGTAAGAGATGATGATGAAGTGAGAAATGCAAAAAAGGTTTTGTTTGCGAAAAAAAAAAAAGAGAAAAAATGACAGCAATAAATATATCTACACAAAGATAAGAAAAGAAATCTAACGGAATTTTTATTTACAAATTTAAATGAAAAGAACAGAATAGGTATAGTTATAAACGAATGTCTGGCAAACAATCTATGCAAAACATAGACAGACACATGTGTGTCATAATGGATTCATATAAAGTAAATGCATACACAGCATACAATTGAAAAGTTAACATGAAACAAAACACCTATAAAATATATTTATTATTTATTAATTTTTTTTTGAACGGAAAACAAAATAATCAAAACAACAAACATATGTATGTGTAAAAAACAAAATAAATATTTTCAATGGATTGAAGAGGATTGGTCAAATGGAAGAACACAAATGCCAACCCATCCTTCATGTGCGATTAATGACGGACCAAATGACCATTGCCAATCAGCGAAAGGACTAGAAGAAGAAGAAGAAGATGGGACTATAGTGGATAAAGTGGAAGTACCACCATTACAATTGACGTTAACTGAAGGAGATTGCATGGATGGTTTATAATTATTTGGTTTAGGTTTCAACTTTTCCAACGTCATATTTTGCTGAGGGCAAAAAAGAAAAAGAAAATGGTATATAGAAAATTGCCAAACTATAATAACCAGTATTTATATTAGGAAACTAATAGGTATGTTAAATTTTTTAAGAAAAAAATAACTATACACAACACACTCTCAGTCAGTTGAGAATGGCAGTTTCTTACGAATTCAATCACTAAGTACTTGGATATGATGAACTACAATCTACATGTGATAGCTAATGATACTAACCGGTTGCTGTCAGTCAATCAGTCAGTTAGTTGCAACGTAGAACTACGTACGTTTAAACATCAGTTCAAGTTGCTATACCACGGTAGTACAGAGATGAAATGGTCAATTCAAATCCCATACTGGTAGATGTAGTAGAAGCATGAATAGTAATTGGAAAGATTGGAAAGAAACACATTATTCAAGAAGTATAATACAGCGAAATAGATTCGCGACGAGATAGATGAAGGTCATGAGATGTTTAGGTTAGAATTCGGGAGAACACAAAGAATAGTGTTAAAATATTCATCCAATATCGTAAGAGAATTATTGGTCGAATCCTATTGGTCGATTTCTATTGGTCAAAATTATGGTCGTTTTAACTGTCAAAGTCAAATACTTCAATGTTGTCTCTTATTAGTCATCCGGACTTTTAATGTCATTTCAAATGTTCTTTCTATTGGTCGTCTTAACTATCATTGCCATAGAATTCGATGCTGTTTCCTATTCGACCAAAATGTATAAATACGCATTATCTGTAACGTTTAATGGCCACGACCAGGACCAGGGCTCGATCCCGGATCCCTAGTCCGGGATCCTGATTCTCTTCTGGATTTGGACCTCGTACTTTCTGGATGCTTGTAGAATACAGGTTCTACTTCATATCACGTCTTCTCATTTTAACTAAATATGGGAGTTGGGATAATCGGATTTGAGTAGCATGTCGTGTCACCGGATCCTCGCTCTCGTTTTCCGACTAGGTAAACTCGTAATAGTTCAAGTATATCAAGCTGACGTGTTTAAGTGCAGGCGTAACAAATAGATGCATTTGCGCCATTCAGAACGGTCTTGAGTCATTTCATTCATGGTCTATAACCATCGATTATCATCATCTCACAGACCCGAACCACGTAGTCTATATCTATCAACATGACTCAGTCCACATGTCAGTGACTTCATGGATTTCCGCAATGTTTTGGTTTGGCCGTCCAACCTACTCCTATATCACAAAATATAGCTCGTCGATACAGTCAGTAGGTAGGCATATGTAACACACGTTCCAACCACCTCAAATGATGAAGATTCACCACTTCATGAACTGATTTACCATTCTTCCCTAGTACTGGTTTCCTAACAACTACATTGCTTAATCGGTTGTACCAGGATATACGAAAAACGCATCGAACACACCGATGATCAAATACTAATAGCCTAAGAATATCTTCTCTTACTGGCTATGTTTCACAGGCAACCGGTTGTTGAAACAACAGACAGTACAAACTTGACGAATACTTACAGTCAGATTCCGTATATATATATATATATATATATATATATATATATATATATATATATTTATAAAGTGAAATATAGGATGAAAATGAATAACATTAGCAATTCTAAAAGTAAGAACAAGACAGCCATCAAGCTCTATATGGTTTTTAGTTTATCTGAAACTTCATAAAAATCATCAATATCCATCATATAATAGCTCTAATACACATGTGAACCATAATATAAAGCTAAATGTTAATTTCAAGTTTCAAACATTATTATCAATCTTACACAGCAATGATACAACTGTACACTAGAAAAAGTACTGTGTTGGATAATATTTGTTTTATGAGATTTAACTGTACACCTGAAAAGAGTTAATTTCGACAAACATCGATCTATCACTAAGTCTATTCAATTAATGACCCATATGTATATTTTAATATATCATTACGAGAATAAATATAAACTAAATTTCATGTATCTTTTAACCTTCCAACCAACGAAAAATCAGTTTCTTTCAATTGAAATAAGAAATGACATGAAGATTATAAAGTCGATCTAGTTTATTCTCCGGTCACTATAGAAACAATAAATTAAAAATGAATAAAACATAAAAATAAATATCAATCAGGAAAGCGTAATTTTTAGGGCGTTAGTTCGATGGACATCTCTCAACATTCTACGTAATTACTGAATTTTCGCATATTTTCACCAAAAAAGCTTAATAACTTAGTTCGTATCATCACTAAATAAATTATGTACGTCTTAATTCGAAAATAACAGTGATCTCTGATACTACTAAAACTAACTTATATCTGAAACAAATTTGATTTGCACAAACAAATTAAATTAAATCGACAAAAAATGAAAACAATAACTTTTACCTGGTTTCCTGTTGTTTCAGTAAATGTAACAGTTTCAGTTGAGTTGAAAGATGAAATAGACTCGTAATCAGAATTCACAGAACATCGATGATGATAATGATGATGATTACAAGAAACACTATCATCATCTTTGTCATCATCATTGTCGTCATCAACAACAACATGATCACCGCAACTACTAGGTTTATTTAATAAATTAGATAATGTACTATGTTTTGACTGTAAAATATCACTGGATAATTCATAGGCATTAAGTTTGATGGGAGATTTAAAGCATTCAACTGTTCGTAGATGTGTACTACCGTCATAACCACCTAAATAAAGAAAAAATTCCTAGTTAAAACGAATCGGCATGATTGATTTTTTACTAAAATACTCTAAATATGTATAGCTATGGCACTGCCTGGAAGACACTGTAATTTATCAGCGCTTCAACCAAAAAGAACTATATTATCAGCATATTCTACGTCAGTCAGTGAATCTTTTGGTAGAAGGTACACCCCTAAAAATTCAGAAGAGGATAATGTTAACTCTAGAAGTATGTCTATGACAAAATTAAGCAAGAATGGAGAAAGTGAACATTCCTGAAAGACACCACTTAAAGTAACCAATTCCAATGACAGGTAGCCATGAGTAGAGCTTGCATAACGTCAATGTACTTCTCTGGTACAACTTTTAATCATACACATTGCCACAGAACCTCACGAGCAACACAGTTCAATGCCGCTTTAAGGAATATAACTATAGTGAGACGCCTGAAATGTGTGTCTATGTTCCAAGATCTAACGAAGAGTGAATACATGATTTATACATCTACGACCGATTCTGAAACCAGCTTGATTTTCTCGAGTCTGCTGTTCACGAGATCTAGTTAGGCGTCGAAGTACTATTGAAGCTAATATCTTAGAAACTACATTACTTTGACTGATCTCTCTGTGACTATCGCAAGAAGACTTTTGTCCTTTCTTATAAATTGGGACAATCAGGGACTGGGACCAGTCGGATGAGATTATGCCCAGATGCCATATTTTACCAAAGATATCAGTAAATCGAACAGCTAAAACTGGGTCACCATCCTTTAAAATCTCAGAGGTCAATCTGTCTGGGCCCACTGCTTTACATCGTTTTAGATTTCCTATAGCTTTCTCGACTTTATTAAGATTCAGAGGACTTACATCAATTTGCTATTCAAGTTGACTGGAGATCGTGGGCAACCGAAGTACGACTGAACGTCAATTAAACTGATCCCCAAAGTGTTGCGCCCATCTATCCAGGTTCCTGGATTGAGAGTGGACAATCAGACTATCATTCTCCGAAATAGTCTCACAGTCGGATTCATAATACCAGTTTCCTTGATAAATCTGAAAAAATGTCAACTGTTGCCTATCGCCGTTGCCTATTTCATCTCTCTCGCTTTCGCTACTCACCACTGTTCACGATCGTTGCGTAGGCTTCTTATCAGTCTGCACCTAAGCTGCTTCCGCTCCTCATCGTGCTCAGAGCCAACCGCAATGAGTTTTCGAGCGTCCATCAGTTCGGTAGATGATACTGAAATCCACCGCTTCTCCCTAACCTTATGGTTTACCCTACTAGAAGATATCATTGCTGCTTCCACAGCCTTTTTGATATCATTCCAAGCTGCCTCAGGGTGGGAATCACTTACTTCATGGTTGCCTAAACGTTTTTCCAGTAGTTCCTGAAATATATTCTTAGCTTTATTATCATTAAGTAGAGACTTAACAGATTTCCTTGCGATACTTTTCCTACGTCCAGTCAGTCAGTCAGATGCAACGTAGAACTTGGTACGTAAGTACATCAGTTCATGTCGCCATACCACATCAGCACAGATATGTAATTGTCAATTCAAATCCAATAGTAGAAGAGGTAGTAAAGGTATTAGAAGTAATCGGAGAGGTTAGGACTAGATGTTATTCAAGAAGTATGATTTAATGAGAAAAGTTTAGAAAGTCAAAACTAGAGTTGTTGAAGAACCCAGAAGGTTAGGATTTGAGAGAACACAAAGAACAAATGCACCGGCGCCATTGCGAACGATTTTGAGCCATGTCATTCAAGGTCTCTAACCATCGATTATTATCATCTCGCGGACCCCAACCAGGTAGTCGACAATTACGTCCAGTAAGCCTCAAGTAAATACGCGCTCGTACTAGAGCGTGGCCTGAAACTAAGCAAGTGCTCCAGAATGAGCGGCAGTCTTTAATAGGGCCTCTCCATCGGTGAGTGATAGCGATGTGATCTATTTAGATCCATCCTTGAGTTGGCTTTGGGCGTGGCTAGATCAAAAGATGTTTTTCCTTATGCCTAAAGTTAGTGTTTGCTAGAAATAGGCGGTTATCTGAACGGAGTTGCAGCAGACGGTTGTCCTTATCCGTTTTTTGAGCCGTGACACCATAAGATCCACCCAGATGTCTTTCCTTTTTATTCAGTCTTCGTCTTGAGCATTGAAGTCACCAGCCATTATTACTATATCAGAGCGCTTAACATTTTGAAGGTTAGAAAGGTTTCTAAACAACCGATTGTTTAAATCGTCTGAAATGCAGTCCGTGGGAGCGCAGGTAGAGACAACAAAGGGAAAATGGTCAGTGTCCCTATCTTTACCATCCTTACTGTCCCGTTGAGCCGGACAGAGGATAAGCAACTGTCTACTGAGATCCAGCCTAAGAGAGCTAGTTCTGCCCGACGACTTGAACTATACTTATACCAGCAAGGCCACGAGAAGCAGCAGTGAGGCTTCCAGATACACGGAGCGTGAACCAAGTTGGTTATTTATCTGGACAAGATGAAGACAATTTAATCACTGCACCCGAATCTTGTATGCGCGTTTCGGAGACGCAGCACACATCGATCGTCCGGGATTCCAGAGTTCTAGCTAGGGAAGCTTGTTGTCCTACTTGGCACGATGTCCGGATATTAAAAGCTTCAATATGTAGTTTAGAGCGGGGTTTCAGGAGACCAGCAATAATGCTTCGTGAACTCGAAACGTTTGCTTCAGCGGCGCTTGGTGGCAAAAGAACGAAAGAAGGGTAGGTCGTGGGAATGAGAGAGTTATTTTGGAAGTGTAGAAAGTATTTGATTGTGACTGATCCGGTCTCACGTGCTGTTACGGGTACGAGGGCGGATGTTACTTTCCGGCTGCCCCCACCGTGGAAGGGCTCTGGTTGTCAGAAGGGGCACCGGCCTTGTGACTTCCGCAGGAACTCGGCTTTCATCTTGAGACATCGTAAATCTTCTAAATAAAGACACTATAACTCCCAGGGCAGAGTTTAAATGGTTTGAATTATTTTTACCTGTCAGTATTTTGTAGCGAGTTAGTTTTCTAAGGGATTAGGTCGCCAACTATATACCCAACACTCCTCCTTTATACGAGGTTGGGACCGGCGGTAACCCCGGAGGGGCTCCAGGCGGAGTCTAAAGGGCGTTTCTTGAGGAACCTGAAAAGGAAGTTAAATAAGTTTTGGTCTTAGAGACCTGAGAGCGTAACAGCATGAACCAAAGGACAACTGATTGACACTGGTGGCGTACGTCCCTTTTATGATAAGTTTTTGAAGTGTTAGTTCCGCTCTTTTTAAAAAGCCTTACCACCGAAAACGGAAATTCGCGAGGTAGGGTTGGGTCTGAAATTCTTAGGGTTGACCTTTTCTAACCCCTTTCTAGCTTGTGAGAAAGCAGAATCGCTGCAGATGCTGGTTGTCCGAGGGTAACATCTTACTGCTGTTACACTCCTCGACAGTCAACAGTACAACTTCACCCTCAGACCTTAAGTTGCTGCTTTTACTCTTATCGTTCTCCAGTCGACTTTCCTGGCATGGTAGGACCTACAGAAACATATGTTCCAGCCGATATAGCTCGGTCAGGTTATCACAATAGTCAAGCCCGACCATCATGTCAAGGTAGCAGCTACGGTCCGGAAGTCTATTACAGCAAAAAAATTATTTCTACAGTATCTTATCTTTAGCACTAGCTAGTAACTCGATATCATTAAATATATCTATACAATCATTTTTACGTGTTACCTAATGCGTGAAGGTTGGTACTACTACTTGACTGATGAGTGTAGAAAAGTTTGTATCTGGACACTAGTAACTGAACGTCAAATGCTTAAGTACTAAACCACTGATACAAGATCAAACCACATTAGATGAACCAAAAATCGCCTACATTCACATTATTAAAAACAACAACATATCATCGACTATGATATCATACTCAAGTCGTCGCCAGAAATACAACCCACCTATTGCATACAAACAACCTGCAGTTACAGCCAATCCAACTCGAGAACGAGGAATTGATAAAGATGAGATTTCGGTCCATTGACCATGCAAGCCATTACGATCTGGACCAGTTGTAGGATCGAACATTTCAACACTTCGAAGAAATGAAGCACCATCATAACCACCGGCTACAATAATGCGATCACGAAATGCAGTTGCGCCATGTCGACATCGCCGATGTAACATATTGGCTACTGAATACCACACATTAGTTGGGTTTTTCTGAGCACCACGATTCTGTAGGTCGGTTTCATAACGAGAGGATGGTGAAATTGTTCTAGGTAAATCTCCACCCTTTTCATAGCATTCAACTGTGGAGAAAACAGCTAAACCATTGTGTCCGCCAATAGCATAAAGACGACCATTGAGAGCAACAAGACCACCAGCAGATCTGGGTTCATTCAAGCTTGATATTAGCTTCCATCTAAAGAAGAAATTACGGTTTAACCAATCAAATAAGTTTTAAAAAGTAACCTCATAACATAAGTAAAACTTTTTACAAGCAAATCAGTAGGTAGAAAATAATTTTCAGATTTTTAAATACTAATTACAACTGAAGTTGGATTCCCTTAAGAGTGACTTTTTCTAACATAAGAAGCATCAACACATACTAAGTTTTCGTTCTCAGGAACTCCTACTGATCAACATTAAACAAATCGAATTTAATACTGAACTATATTAACTGTTATCCGCTGTAAGATGAATAGTTTGAGTAGTAAGTGGAGACCATGGTCGTGTTTTAGACTAAGTCGTTTACATTAAAAACTAGCTTACTGATATATTCAAAAATAACAGAGCAGAATGATATAGATTTTAAATTCAGAGGTGTCGTATATCTTTTTAACATCATTGATGAGATTTACCATTAACGGATAATGAACGATAAGTAACGATTCATAACCATCTGTGTACTGCAAAAGGAACCATGAAGAATTAGGTTGTTTGTTGTATTATGGTGATAATTTTGCTGTTTTCTATCAACTCGTTTGCTGGGTACATATTTGTGTACTTGAATTCGACCCAAACTCTAAGTGAAAAATTTAATGACACTATTCTGCTACCCGAACTGAGGTAGGTGGATTGAGATTCGAACCTGTGACTTAGTGGTTAGAGTCCAAACACAATAAATACTTAGCGTTCGCTTGACCATGATGATTACGATCCTGTAGTAAAAGTGATGTCTGAAAACCTGAATTAATGAATTTGTTTCGACTTTATCAAATACACTCATAATTTTTAGTTTCGAATCTTAAGATACAACTTTTATAAAGAATACTGCTTACGTATCTTGTTCCGGAATGTACACTTCACAAGTACGTAATGACGTTTGACCATCAAAACCACCGCACACATATAAACATCCATCATAAGCAGCAGCTCCTGCAGCACTACGTCGACAAACCATTGGAGCGACAGTTGACCACTTTCCAGTTTTCGGATTATAAACTTCAGTTGTACGTAAGCGAGAAGTTCCATCGAAACCTCCGATAGCGTACAATAGTCCTGCGAACGGAAAAAACTAGGACTACTCCTTAAAAATAACAGATCGGTTATGATACCAGAGTTTACTTATATATTTTTTTCATCAGCTTTCGATTAACGCATTAGCTACTGTTGTATGATTTACTATTTATAATATGTTGCTAGTTTTCTCTAACTATGAAAAATTTTTGTTTCGATCATGAATAATTGTTATTTCCTATCTGTTGGTGTTGTTTGGTCAAGTGTATCTGTATATAAACCACGTACGCTTGAAATATATCATTCATACGGTGGAGGTTGATTGTTTTGTTCTGAACCTAACCGGTACAATAGCAGGGAAAAGCTACCGAAGAGAGCAGTGATCCAAGGCTGCTAGTGCTAGTCGTATTTTCAAAGGGCTGCGTGAATCGCCTCAAGAAACTGTCCCTTGAGCTTTGTGGTCACGTTCGTACGTTGCTGGGCCACCACTAGACCAGTTTGTTTTTTAGGTCTCAAAGGATAGACGTCCTCCTACGGTGTGAGCGACCGGTAATCGATAACTGCTCGCATACGTCTAACATTATGCGAGATTACTTTTTCATAGTCGAACAACTGTGAATATTAAACACCTCATAATTACGTGCATATTAGTTCTGCAACAGTTCTTTTTTATCAGTTTTAGTCGGTCAAATAAACTAATAAGCTATCATTAAGTTATGCTTTTATGTTAAATTTGTAGTTGAACACCTAAAGTTGGAGTTTCAGAAAGTATATGGCTCCTCAAGATTATGGTTATATAATTAGCAGTGATGACAATGTCGAAACTTGGGCCTGAAGAATTCTTTCTATAATTTAACTATTCAAAATAAAAAGGCTCGATTTTCAAACTTACCATTCAAAGCAACAACACCAATACGACTACGCTTAGATATCATGCTTTCTGATAATTCCCAACGACCAAGAGAAGGATGATAAATCTCCACAATCCCATGACATTCTAAATCTGCATTCCAACCTCCTACAGCATAAATAACGCCAAAAATATCTTGACATTTTCTAGGTCGACAATTAAAGAATTCGGATGTTTTCCATGACATAAGAAGAACATCACGTACCTCATCTAGAATATCTCTGCAAAAAAGTAAAATTTGAAAAGCAATCAAGATAAGTAAGACAAAAAATCTTTCACAATTAGTTCGATAATAACAAAACTCAATTAAAACCGGTGCTCAAAAATATCTGAACTGAATCAATTATTTTTATTGTTTAATGGAGATCCATAAGATATTAAGAGTTGGTCCTAAATCCTGTAACTGGAAGCAGATGGGTACATGCACAAGTTGCTATTTGATGTTAACAATATGAAATTAGAAAGATAAACAACGAAGTTAGAGCAATGAGAACAGTAAGGAAAAATAAGCAGGAGAAAAACAAATCAGTATGCTGTTCAACGATTTTGACAATACAAAATTTAATCTCATCAGTCATTAAAAACCCTCAAAACACATGTGGACTTAAAATACGAAGTTTGAACCTCCAATAGTTAATAATTTTAAAACAATATTCAATATATCGGTTTAACTACTATTTGCCTTTCTTCAATTACTTTAGTAGTCATCAGGGTATGATGTAGTAGTCAGTGGTGGCTGGACATGGATAAGATAGGTTCTAACTACCTAGATTTATCAAAGATTTTGGCTTTATGATATTGCGAAATATTAGGAGTACAGGATTTTAACTGATTTCATACGTCTACGACTCAAAGCACTATCACTGCTACAGTCAAATATCAGCTTCACTTCCAGAGGTTAAAGCTCCTAAGGTTTTGATATTCTTTCATTCAGCTAGTTTATAATTTATTGAAAGTAAAGACAGGAGGATAAAGGGGATTTGCCAGCAAACATTTTATGCATTCAAGTTGAAGTGAGGAAGTGGATTAGTTATGCTTTTCATCTACCAAGTCTTGCATGTTCAAAAGTGATTTCAGATACTACAATTTCAGCAGGTGAGGGGAATTTTCACTGTCTAAGTAGTAGCTGAAAAATGAAATCGTAAATACAGGGACATTAACGTAACTAATTAGTCAAACTATTCATCATTATTTGAAAATAAAAAGCTTTGTCACTTAGCAACTTACCTACAACGAATATCTTGGCGAATAAGATCATGCCGTGAAATAACTGAGAAAATGTAGCTAACTGGAATTAAGGGTAATCTAATTCGTCTAAGAAGAAATGGGAGAAAGTCAGTGCGACGTTTGTTATTGAACACTTGTGTAGAATAATGACTATGAGAATGATGTGTAGAATGTAAAGAACCATTACAACACGAAGTTTGATAATTAATTTCACTTGAAACTGGTGATTGCATCGAATTAACATTACGATCGTAATTTCCAGGTAGTTCAATTACATTAATAGACTCTGACATAACGGAATTTGTTTCAGAATTCAGTTTTGATTCAAACTCAACCCAAGACATAACTATATGGAACAAGCGTTCTTCACTGCTGACGTTCAGTTCGTCTGATTCTAGTAATTCCATTAATTCACCTCCTTCAAGATTAAAAAACGAAATTGTGCGTGCGATATTTTCGAAGTTTTTGTAGATATACGTCTCACAAGCAGATACTAATTCTGTGCACAAAAAACTTTGAGCTAAATTCTTCATCGGCAAAACTATGTCAACAGTCAATCTGTGGAGAGAAAATATTAAAACAATATCGGTAAAATGTCTAGAAACAGAATACAGGTATGTGTGTAGCAAACAATTATACCTTCGGAATAAACGTTAATAAGTGTTCCTCTTAGTAATATATTATGGGCAAGTTTACAAAAACGATTGCGGACTACTTAGAAGTAACAAAATATATGACACATTTAATTCGGATAAATCTGCATCTTTAATACCATTAATTAGTGAGCTTTCACGTGAACTTGGTACATACGTACATCAGTTCACATACCAAATTATCACAGAGGTGGAATTTTCAGCTCGAACCCAATAGTAGTGGTGGAAGCAGTGTAAGGAGTAATGGAAACGATCAGGGATCGAAGATATCACTTAAGAAATATACCCCAAAGAAATTTAATTAAAGGTTGAGGGGTTTGGAGGTTTTCTAACCATCAGTTATGATTGTCTCGCCGACCTCAATCTGGTACTCAACAATCACTAAAGTAGTTCAGTCCAGTTTTCAATGACTTCGTGGACAGGTAGCATGTTTTGGCTTGACCTACCCTAGCTTTGTGTCAGTCTACTCTTACATAACATCACAAAACATCTTTTATCGAGGCACCCGGTGGTTGGATATACGTATAATATGTCCAACTATATTGTTTTATTAATTACGCTGCCTTCAGTTGACGCAGGAATTAGTAGTTCCATTGGCAAAACTTCACATGAATAAACCATATATTTCGATTATAGATTCTTTGAAGCATTCTTCGTGTATCCTGAGACAACCGAGTAAGCAATCCTATAGTAAGGAAACAAGTACTAGAGAAGAATGGCAAATCAATAGATGTAGTAGTGAAGTTTCAACAGTTGAGATGGTTGCAATGACGCAGGTGCATGCACTCTTTGTGCACTATGAAATTCTAATTTTATGGATTCTTTAACACCTCTATCTTTTTATTTTTAAATATACTTCACTGAATTATACTTCTTGAATAATAACTTCGAACTCTAATCTTCTCCATTACCACCTATACTTCTACTATCTCGATCGTTATGGGATTCTAATTGACAACTGCGTTTCTGTGCTAATGAACTTACGGACGTACGAAGTTCTACGTTGTAGCAGACTGAATGACTCTACGAAAAAGCTGATAACATACTTTGAGTTAGATGTTAAAGCTTGTGAATGACTCAAATTACTACACTGTAAATATCAATGGTCCAGAAAACTAACCCGATTTAAAAAAATAAAGTGCTAATGGGCAATGAGAACTAACCAAAATGATAAACAACATTTCCTGCATTAGGAAAAAATGAACGAGTTAGTATTCATTTTCATAAATTTATTATGATTCTAAATCATTAGGCTCAAAGAGCAGGCTGATTATCAACCACTATATAGCTTTTAAGTCATAGCTTTTTCCCTCACTAACCAATCATACACTTTTAAAGTTAACTCACCTTTCACTGATATATCTGCAACAGATGTTACGAACATTATTTAGCTGTAGAAAATTGGCTCCAATTAGAATTGATTGAACATTGCGTGGGTTGATTTGCACAAGACCAGTATAAGCATAACCAATGAACGCTTCTAAAGCACTGGATACTAATAAGAGAAAAATAAATTACCAAGCGTCAAGTTCATGAATAGCAACTTCGCTTTTAGTAGATTCTGCCATATTACTCAGGAACATTCCGTTAAAAAACGGTATCGTGGCGGCCAAAACAACTTTGTGTGCCGTGAAGCGATTATTGTCCGCCTAACAATCAAATATATGATTGTAACAACTCACAGTCAAAGTGACATCACACAATTTTCCATCTCTCCGCATACAATCTAAAGCTGCGAAACCAACCTTGTAAACCTCTCGATCTTGGAAATTTAGAGTATTTGGCAGAAAAGACTGAAAAGTAGAATAATGTATAACTAAACAGAACTACCATAAACTTAATTCCAGCTGATGTACCGCTCATATTTAAAAAGCCTTTCACTGTATCCAATACCCAATATACATTTCAGGAGCTAGTATGAAGGGATTGATTTTTTCGCGCTCGTTTCTTGTTCTCTCGGTATAGTTTCAGGCAGTTGGTAATATCCTATGGATGGTAGTCTAGACGTTCGAGTGCACCAATTCTAGTCAGTTGGCAGTTATTGATGAACTTGTATTTCCCATTATTTGAATGAGTACGTTTGTTTCAGCGCAGTAAGGTTTCTGGATACCAACAGCTATCACGTTACTAGGCCGGAGATCAGTTAGTCCTCCAAGGTATCTCCATCAAGAGTGATTTGGTTGGTGCATGTTGTGTTGCATCGGAGAATTTCGCTCTTTCCTTTATGTATGTTGAGACCTACTGCTGCAGACGCTGCTACTACACTGATCGTCTTCTCTTGCATTTGTTGCTGCGTGTGCGATAGAAGAGCCAAGTCATCTGCGAAGTCCAGATCGTCCAGCTGCGTCCTAACTGTCCAGTTGATACCGTGCTTCCCTCCAGTTGTTGACGTTTTCATAATCCAGTCGATGACCAGGAGAAAGAGAAAGGGTGAGAGTAAGCAACCTTGCCTGACACCGGTCTTCACCACAAAAGAGTCTGTTAGCTGTCCTTCGTGTACGATTTTGCAGTTGAATCCATCATAAGAATTCCGTATGATGTTAACTATCTTCTCAGGCACCCCGCAGTGTCGCAGAAGCCTCCACAGTGTTTTCCTGTCCTCGCTATCGAATGCTTTCACGTAGTCGATGAAGTTGATGCAGAGTGATGAGTTTCATTCAATTGATTGTTCCACAATGATCCGTAATGTAGCAGTTTGGTCAGTACACGATCGATCCTTACGAAATCCGGCCTGTTGATCTCGAAGTTGGACGTCTACGAAGTCTTTCATTCTGTTTAACAATACCCTGTTGAAGACTTTGCCTGGTATTGAAAGAAAAGTGATTCCTCTGTAGTTCTCACACTTACTCAGATCGCCTTTCTTTGGTATTTTGATCAGGTGTCCTTCTTTCCAATCTAATGGCACTTGTTCCTCATCCCAAATCTTCTTGAAGAGTATGTAAAATATTTTCGCAGTTGCGTCTACATCTACTTTCATTGCCTCTGCTGGATTGTTGTCTGGTCCTGCTGCTTTGCCGCTCTTGATTCGTCTGATGGCCATACTGATCTCCTCAATTGTAGGTGCGCCAATATTTATTGGGAGGTCCGTGGATGCTGCTTCGATGTTGGGTGTGTTCAGTGGAGCTGGTCGATTCAAGAGTTCCTTAAAGTGCTCTACCCACCTATTTCGCTGTTGTTCAGTGTTGCTGATTACTTTCCCTTCCTTGCTTTTCACTGGTTGTTCTGGTTTACGATAGTTTCCGGCAAGCTTCTTTGTTGTTTCGTACAATTGTCTCAAGTTTCCGTCTCTTGCAGCCCTTTGCGCCGTCGTTGCTAGATCTTCCACATATTTTCGTTTGTCAGCTCTGATGCTCTTCTTCACTTCCCTGTTTGCTTCTGTGTATGCAGCTTGTGCGGTAACTTTCTCCGCTCTTGTTCGGCTGACAATGATTGCTGCCTTCTTGTTCCTCCTTTCTTCAATTTTTGCAAGAGTATCAACAGAGATCCATTCCTTGTGATGGTACTTCTTGTGGCCCAGAACATCGTGACATTTTGAAGTGATTGCCTCCTTAATCCCTTTCCAATTGTTCTCCAATGTTGCGTCCTCTCCATTGTGTAGATCCTGAACGGCCTGGAACCTATTGGTGAGGGCTATCTTGAATTCGTTGAGCTTTACAGTATCCCGAAAAAAGGCCGTATTAAACTTGTGTGATGTTGTCTGTCCCGTTGTCCAGTGCTTCTTTAGTTACAGTCTAATTTTGGCCACCAGCAAGTGGTGATCTGAGGCTATATCAGCTCCTCTCCTGGTTCTCACATCCTCCATAGTCCTTCTGAACTTTTTGTTGACACATGTGGTCGATTCGGTTCTGAGCATTGTGATTCGGTGAAATCCATGTAGCTTTGTATTTGCGCTTGTGTGTGAATATTTTGGTGCCGATGACCAGTTTGATTAAGGCACATACGTTAGCGAATCTCTCACTATTTTCGTTCCTTTCTCCTAGTCCATGTCGTCCCATGATGTCTTCATATGCAGTGTTGTCCATTCCAACCTTGGCATATATTTCTCCCATTAGAATAGTCGAATCCTTTGTTAGCATCTCTCGACGATTGACTGCAGCGTTTGGTAGCATTGATCTTTATAGTCTTCATTGTAGTCATTGGTAGGTGCATAACATTGGATGATGTTCATTGTAATGTCCTCTTTCTTTGTTTTGAAGGATGCTTTAATGATCCTGGGTCCATGAGATTCCTATCCTATCAGTGCTTTTTGTGCTTGTTTGGACAGCATCAGTGCAACTCCTTGTGTATGTGAAGCATTTTCCTCTTCATAACCAGAGTATAACAGCAGTTCCCCTGAAGCTAGTCCCAGTTTTCTTACCTGTGTCCAATGCGTTTCACTGATGCCGAGCACCTCGAGGTTGTATCTTTTCATTTCTGCCGCAACTTGAAATAGCCTTCCAGTCTCCCACAATGTACGAACGTTCCATGTACCTAAAAAAATGGTTGCTCTGGTTGTCAGAAGAGGCATCGGCCCCGTGACTTTCGAGGGAACTCGGCTTTCATCACGAGACGTCATAATTCTTCTTCCAACTGTCAGGGCAGAGTTAAAATGGTTTGAATTAAATTTTTCTGGTTTGCGTTTTTTGGCAAGTTAGTTTTTGACGGAATGGGGTCGCCAACCCCATGTCCAACCCTCCTCCTTTACCCGGGCTTGGGACCGGCAGTAGCCCCGAAGGTTCTACTGGCGGAGTTGATGTAAATAAATGAATAATTTAATGTATTGATTGTTAGTGAAGATTGTATGAGGGGGGATCGAAGTGTAAGCAAGGGAGAGGAAACAGAGACAATTAGTGAGATATAGTAGTTAATTGATCTGAGCAGATGGCAATAATAACAACTAGCATGTCTCAAGGCACACATCAGGCACAGCTCGTCCACGAGGGATATGATAATCAGTGGGTGAGTATTCATCAATTCTCTTCTTGATGTCACTTCATCTGAAAGTGGATCAGTGAAGCCTATCTTTGTAATCCTTGAAGTTAGGAGTACGTGAGTAACTGTGTCAAAAATTTTGAGGAGTGAAAGAATATTATAAGGACCGGTATGAGAATATTGGATGCACATGGCCTGCCTGCCCTAAACCCGTGTTGGGCTTCATGAAGGATATTGTTCTTATCCATGTACTCCCTCATTTCCCATGCACTTTTCGCTCGTTTCAAGCATTTAGTGCCTCACTAAACCTACATTTTTCCGTTTTCAGGTGTTTCATAAGCCAGAAGTATATTGTTAAGACAATATTTTGGATGGTGTCTCTCACTGTTTGCTAGTGGTCATCTACTGCTAGCTTTCACTTTTTCCGTGACCTTCGGGCATGTAGAAGAAGCTCTCATGCGCGTGCAATTTGCCTTAGTGTAGGAAAGTTTGGGCTCATTTGCATCCATGCATGATTCTGTCATGGCAGTTAGTTGGGTACTGTGTAGTTTTCTGATCTGAAATGGCTGTTTTTATATATGGCCACTCAACCTCCTGTCTTGCATACCCTATCACATCGGGAGAGTATCATGCCTTGTAAGCTCATTTCATCGGGTGATAGCCATTATTCAGTTGATATTATGATTTTCGGATCCGTCCAAAAACACTTATTCCGGATCCCTAGCAGACTAGCCAATGTTCTCTGACATTGCCATAGAGGTACTTCGTGGTTTTTGTCACTGCCTTGTGAACCTCCGCAGCAGCTACTGTTTACAGATTATAAAACAAAATGTTCAAACCCAGTTGGCCAGTACTGTGAGAACAGGCCTTTGCCGGATTTTGCTTTTTCCATGTGTTGTTGGTCTAGGTCAACTGTCATTTTCATACTCCTTTTCCGGCCTCCCCCCTATTGTTGTCTCAAAGACCTAGGTCGGCTCTCGAAACATTGAATGTGATCAGATAGATTGTTATTCAGCTGTATCAAGCATGAACCTCCTCAATTAGGTCTTCCCGATTTCTGAAGTCCACAGCCCACAGACGCAGAGACTTCAGTTGTGACGGACGAGGCAGTTGGTAGACGCTAGCTGCCGCGATAGTTTGAAGGTTCATTCAGTGTGCTAGCTAGCATCATTGTTCAACATCGTGCGCTTGAACTTCGTCCAAACTACGACTAACCAGCTCAAGCACTCGGTGAACCACCCACTGCTCTACTTTTGTATGTCTTTCGATATCCTGGCAGCTACTCATACTGACGGCGGTTTGTCTTGCCTGAATCTGATCGGCGACAACAGTATGGTCGAGGGTCTCTGAGATGTGAGAAGAGTTTATTCGGTAACTTGTGCTGAGTCTAGGGTTATCAATTACGTGGAGAGTTCCCTTTTGTCGTCACTCCGATCCTTAAACTGACGGAACACCGCCCATACCATGCGTTGCGTAGTATTTGTCTCACCGTTCTCTATCGAAAACAGTCCTGTTTTCCAGTAAGCTACCATAGGACACCGGAAAACTTCTGGTCAAATAATAATAACCGTCTCATCTACAGATCAGCAAAGTTTTTAATTGAAGTGACCAGAAATAATAACATTAAAAAAGTCAAGTAACAAATTGCGCATGTTTGCCGTTGTAGACGTTTCCGTACACACGCGATCGAAACTTACAGCTAGTTTTTCATGCATATAAATGGTAAGAATCGGCAAAATGGTATATTTTATGCAACGACGTAGATTTTTTTTGTCACGTACGGGGTAAAGTAAAAGTTGTTTAATCAATGGTGGTCTGGTTTAACTGCGAAGATTAATACATCTTTGTAATTGGATTTTCTACTCTGACAGTTCACTCCGCCTCGAATAGGTGCAGTTTGGTAGGCGTTGACTCAGATCAGGAACAAAAAACACGATAATTCTGGGAGAAAACGGTCAATATTACACCTAGTTCCAAATTACCGAGATGGGTATCCGTTTCTGGAAGAATAAGTGCTTCAAGTC